TGATATTAGCAGCCTGTAGAAGTGAAAGGGGAGAATCCGTCCTGGAGCGTGTTGAGGGATGATTTTATGATGGGCACATCCATGAAGGACTGGGATAAGGAGAGCGATGAAGAGCGTGAAGGAGAGGAAGGAGGAGAAGACAACCTTGAGCCCGATGAAGACTGCAGCAGTGAATCGGACTGATCCATCACTACTGCACATGTGCATCATGTAGTGCATACATGCAAGTGCTCTTACAGACCCCGAGATCTGCCCTGCACCAAGAGGCAAGACTCCGCGTTACCTGCAGTTCTCAGAGGGTGGATCATGTGGTACTGGGATAGGGAGAGCCAGTAATCTGTGATGTTGCCCTGATCTTGATTTTTTTAATGTGTCCTGGTAAAACAGGGTCTTTTTTGAGTGCATTGATGAGTGCTGCACATTTTGCCAAACCTCTGTGCTCTTTTTCTGTATATAGTCATTTATATCACAGTGTCCTTTGCTAAATAAATCATTTCCTTCATGATTTCTTTTGGTTTTTGTGTCGTCAAGTCTGCTTTATTGTCAATTCTTCCACATGTACAGCACATACATACAGAGAATTGAAATTGCGTTACTCTCAGACCCTTGGTGCATACAGATAACACTACAGTAGAACATAAAATACAGATAGATACAGATTAAATACAAAATACAACTATACAAATAAGGTCATGTAAAAATAAATAAAGCAGCACAAGGCACATGGCAGATAGAGTGCAAACCAGTGAAGTAAACAAACAGTGCAGATATAATGATTGTAAGTGCAAAAGAGCTTATTTTGATTAAAGTGACAAAAAGCTCAGAGAGCAGTTATTTATTTAAACTGTCAGAAGAGGTAGTTGAATGAGGTCAGCTCAATGCTGAATGAGGTCGTGAGCAGACCAATGCTGCACAAAGTGACTGGTGCAGGTCCCAGTGTGTTAGTGGAAGGGGGGAGCTGGGGGGGGGACATTTCTCCTAATACTTTTGTCAGAGGTCTGAAGTCCCAGTGTGCTGCAGAATTTAGCTCCAAAGCTTCTGGGATCGCTTTAGTCCGGGGTGTCCAATCCTGCTCCTAGAGGACCAATGTCCTGCAGAGTTTAGCTCCAACCTGCCTCAACACACTTGCCTAGAAGTTTCTATTGATCCTGAAGACCTATATTAGCTGGTTGAAGTGTGTTTAATTAGGATTGGAGTTAAACTCTGCAGAACAGTGGCTCTCCACGAGCATGATTGGACATCCCTGGCATAGTTTGATTTGATTCTTAGCCAGTGACATTAAGAACAGATGTTACGTTATTGGGCAGTTTATAGACCCCAAAACAAGTCTGAATGGGAGTAAGGAGTAGACCAGTGTCTTCCCAATCAAGCACACTTGAATCAACTCATCAGCGCATTAGTAGAAGATCTAAGGCTATATGTTCAGACTGCAGGCAAATCAGTTTTTTTTTCTTCTCAAATTTTCTTCTTTTCAGGCATATTGTCCGCACTATAAATTCCAAGTGATCAAATCAGATTTTTCTGTTCAGACATAACCATCTTGTCTGCATGGGATGCTTTGGTTACGACGCAGGTGTACTCATGTTTTGATGATGGTTTCAAAACAGATACAGGAAAAGTGGAGGTGCATCATCTCGACCTCCAAATAAATGCCCTTTTGAGTCGCTGTGCAGAAATCCTCTGTCTCACGAGAAAAACTCAGCGACAGAGGAAACTGTTATATATTGTCATGTGATGTGATGTTCCATGCTGTAATCACACATATACTGTATGTATATTTGAATACATACTGTATTCGTTTGAATACTGTATGAATGCTTCTGGCATTTCTGTCACAGGTTTTGACGTTATCGTTGTGTGTCGTGTCAAGAGTGACGCAAAAGATCATTTGAAATCTGATTTGAGCAGCCCAGAGTGTCCAGACTGAGACACATCTGTAAAAATCTGATTTCAAAACACCTCTAAATGTGGTGGGAATCAGATTTGGGGGGGGGAAATTCATATGTGTTTTTTAAAAGCCCATCTGGATTATGTCTGGATATGAAGAAAAAAAAAAATCTGATTTTTGCTGACAGTATGCACAAGGTCTAAGACCCTTTGATCAGAGCTGGATCTAAACTCTGCAGTACAGTGGACCTTCAGGAGCACAACTGAGGAATCCTGATTTAGGTATTTGATCCACTT